TTAGAATTGTCTTGGTAATTTTTTTTGTCAAGATATCGTGTTTTTCTGTTTTTCCTTTATTTATTTTTTCCTGAAGTACCCATACAATTTTGAGACAGTAGGAAGAATATTGAGGCAAATTGAGAGAGACAACTAAAAAGCACTATAACATTTAGGATTGTCTTGGCAATTTTTTTTGTCAAGATATCGTGTTTTTATGTTTTTCCTTTATTTTTTTTTTCCTGAAGTACCCATACAATTTTGAGACAGTGGGAAGAATATTGAGGAAAATTGAGAGAGACAACTGAAAAGCACTATAATATTTAGGTTTGTCTTGACAATTTTTTTTGTCAAGATATTGTGCTTTTCTGTTTTTCCTTTATTTTGTTTTTCCTAAAGTACCCATACAATTTTGAGACAGTGGGAAGAATATTGAGCAAATTGAGAGAGACAACTGAAAAGCACTGTAACATTTAGGATTGTCTTGGCAATTTTTTTTTGTCAAGATATCGTGTTTTTATGTTTCTCCTTTATTTTTTTTTCTGAAGTACCCAGACAATTTTGAGATAGTGGGAAGAATATTGAGGAAAATTAAGAGAGACAATTGAAAAGCACCGTAACATTTAGGATTGTCTTGGCATTTTTTTTTTTTGTCAAGATATCGTGTTTTTATGTTTTTTCTTTATTTTTTTTCCTGAAGTACCCATACAATTTTGAGATAGTGGGAAGAATATTGAGGCAAATTGAGAGAGACAATTGAAAAGCATTGTAACATTTAGGATTGTCTTGGCAATTTGTTTTGTCAAGATATCGTGTTTTTATGTTTTTCCTTTATTTTTTTTCTTGAAGTACCCATACAATTTTGAGACAGTGGGAAGAATATTGCTGCAAATTGAGAGAGACAACTGAAAAGCATTGTAACGTTTAGGATTGTCTTGGCAATTTGTTTTGTTAAGATATCGTGTTTTTCTGTTTTTCCTTTATTTTTTTTTTCCTGAAGTACTCATACAATTTTGAGACAGTGGGAAGAATATTGAGGCAAATTGAGAGAGACAATTGAAAAGCACTGTAACATTTAGGATTGTCTCGGTAATTTTTTTGTCAAGATATAGTGTTTTTCTGTTTTTCCTTTAATTTTTTTTTGAAGTACCCATACAATTTTGAGATAGTGGGAAGAATATTGAGGAAAATTGAGAGAGACAACTGAAAAGCACGGTAATATTTAGGATTGTCTTAGCAATTTTTTTTGTCAAGATATCGTGTTTTTCTGTTTTTCCTTTATTTATTTTTTTTGAAATACCCATACAATTTTCAGACAATGGGAAGAATATTGAGGAAAATTGAGAGAGACAACTGAAAAGCACTATAACATTTAGGATTGTCTTGGTAATATTTTTTGTCAAGATATCGTGTTTTTCCTTTATTTTTTTTCTTGAAGTACCCATACAATTTTGAGACAGTGGGAAGAATATTGAGGCAAATTGAGAGAGATAACTGAAAAGCACTGTAACATTTAGGATTGTCTTGGCAATTTATTTTTGTCAAGATATCGTGTTTTTCTGTTTTTCCTTTATTTTTTTTTCCTTGAAGTACCCATACAATTTTGAGACAGTGGGAAGAGTATGGAGGAAAATTGAGAGAGACAACTAAAAAGCACTATAACATTTAGGATTGTCTTGGCAATTTTTTTTTCAAGATACTGTGTTTTTCTGTTTTTCCTTTTTTTTTTCCCTGAAGTGCGCATACAATTTTGAGACAGCTAGATAGTTCTATAATTTTAGTAATCTCAATTTTTTTTTTGATAGATTTTATGAACGGTTATACTTAAACAATAAAAAATAACTCTTATCTTAATCTAATCCTTACTCTCACTCTTTTTAAAGTTTAAATATGAAAATTTTAATTTGGAGTCTTAATCTCCTACAAATTTTAACCTTTCTAATAGTATGTTTGAGTTGAAGAGAATGAAGAAGAGGAAAGGATTAGAAGGGGGAAAGGGAGAAGAGGGGAAGAGAAAATTTTTTCACCAATTAAATTATAATGTTTAAATATTATAATTTGATTAATTAAAAATATTTTCTCTTCATCCTCTTTATTCCAAACATTTGGTAAGGGTAGTGTTTATTTAAAAGTGTAATTCGTTTCCGAATACTTTGAAATTTGATATGGATTTGAATTAGCCTTAAAATATTCCATGATAAAAAACTGTAGATGTTTAGAATTGAATTTCACATTTTCTATTCAAACTCAACATATTTGGTGTAGAATTACAAATGAATTCTACAAAATTTTTGATCAAATCAAAACATTTCTATTCAAACTCGACATATTTGGTGCAGAATTACCAAGGAAATCTACAAAATTTTTAATCAAATCAAAACATAAACGTATAATCATCATGAAATTTGAATCAAAACTTCTGAGTCAAACCAAACCTAACACAGTAGCATCGAATTACATATATGAAATTTACTTATTTAAATCAAGTTTATCTAACAATAATTATTTAAATCGAAACATATATATTTAGTTCAAATTCAATGATATAAACCATGATATATCTCTAGTATATTTAAGAAAATTAATTTCTTTAAATACTTGCCTTAAGACTCATGCATTTGACCTATAAAATAACATTTACTTGAAGTATTAGATCAAACCTTTGGAATTATAGGGGCAATATATGAATGTATTCAATATGGATTCAATCCTATTATGCACAATATATATACATATATATATATATATAAACATATATAAATAATATGAATTCACTTACATACAAATCTTACATACTATACTTGTCTAAAATCTCAATCATTCATTTCTTCACTTTCAATAATTAAAATTTATCAACATTTATTAAAGATAATTATTTTTTCATTTAAACAATAATAATAAATCTCAACCATTAAAAACAAAAAAATTAATGGTTAAAATTTTATATAAATATAATGTGTAAATTTTATATGTAAATGGATTTCTCATTATTTTACTTTTAATTATTAAGATTTATCATGACTTTTTAAATGAAAAATAATTATCTTTAATAAATATAAATAAATCTCAATTATTAAAAATAAAAAAATAAATAGTTAAAATTTTATATAAGTGCAGTGTATGAGATTTTATACAAATGAATCCTTTCTTTTTTTTTCTCTCTCTCTCTCACTCTGTGCATATGCACACACATACAAAGACATACATACAAGAGTCTAGCCCATTAACTTGTAGTATGTTGGATTTGAGAGAAAGAGAGGTGGGTGGAAGGAAAAAAATCTCTTATTTGGTTAAAAAAAAATTGTAAGAAAGGGAAGTTATTCACTTTATTTTTCTTTTAACTAATTTTTTTATGTATCTAAATGAGGAGATGAGAAAGGAAGGAAGAGAAATAAAAAAATATGAAATCCTTCTATTCATCTTAATACGGTATCCTTCCTTTCATCACTCATCTCTCATCTCTTCCATTTCTCTCAAACCAAAGTAGTCTTTAAAGTTGTTGGGCCTCATATCTAAATTCTTAATCAAACAATTGACTTGAGGTTACATTAATGGATTAAATTAATATGTAATACTAATCAAACACTATTTAATCATTGAACAACTGGTTTTATTTATATTCGTTAGCAGGTTATCATGAAGCATCATGAAAGGGGCATTGGCTCAACAATATGATCAAACCCTACACGCCCCAGCAACAAAAATGATGTAAGACGTGACCAAAGTCCAAACATATTGGTTAAGCCACCATTATTGCTATTATCATTGTCTTATTACTTATTATTAATAATTTTTGTTCCATTTAATTCATCAAAAATATAAAAAGATGGAGGAAAAAATTAATTTTCACAAAAAAAGACTTTGACAGATTATCACTACACGAGAAGACACCTGCTCCAAGAGGAAACAAACCATGTCTACGGAGAGACCACTAGCACTAGAGGATGTATGGATAATATTTTGTTCTAGACCATACGGATACAAAGCATCACTTTCTGCCACACATTTATGAGAATTGCAACATTAACAACTTGAATGATTAGTTTTTGGCCATATTCTTATAGTCTTTTTGTACACACTTGTATTGTAAAGGTTTTAACCTCAAATTAAAGTTCTACCATAAAAAAATATTAACTCAACTAAACTCTTATTGATGGTATATTCTTGATTCGGTAGCATATCTATGATTACGGCACCGAACATCTCTTCATTCTTCTCGTGCAAATTTAGTATTCATTTCATCATTGAATGTTATGAGAGGATTCCATGGTTGGTTCTTCTAAAAACTTCGATCGAAGTTAAGGTTGGTACAAAGAGATTCTGAACATTAACTAATTCTATGGGATATGCTTTATGAAATTATAAGCATACAGCCCTAAAATTGTCAATCAAGAGATAAATAAGGTCATTTGGAAGTTAGATGAAAGGCTTGAAATGGAATCTCTTTCACTAGGGAAAATATAAAAAGGAAGGGGATGAGTTCTATAAAACGTTTGTTTTTTTCGTAGTTCAATTTCTCTTGAATTACAAGAAGAAAACTATTGATGGGAGAGACGAACGCATATTTTGGGAGCTCTCCCTTCATATAATGATTACAATCGTGCAATCTACCACGGGTCAGATTATACAACATATTTTTGTCTATAAAATTACTTGGTTCTTATTTTTCTTCTCTGCTCATAATTTACATCCTTTTTTGGTAGGCTCTCATAATAATTTACATGATCACATGTTCTTTTTCTTTTGAGAACAAGAGGACATCTTGAGTCCCCATGTGATAGATATAATTAGTAGTACTACCAAACACACATACTCCGAATTCGAAATAACTACGTACAAGATCACGAGCAAATTGATTGGGACTGATTTATGGCGATCATAGGAGAGCTGAGGAGGCGATAACCACTGTGCCCTTTGGGGAACCCACAACCCCACTGCCGAGGGACGTCGTCGGAACCACCGTCATCAATCGCCAACAACACCTTGCAAAACAAATCAACGTTGCATGGGAGAACCAGAGGCCCTCCGCTGTTGAACCCGTATTCCGACTCTGCTTCTTCCAACAGTACCCTGAACAGGGGATGGTTTGCATACTCTGTTTTGATCACAAACCTCTGTTTCTCCTGCCCCACATACACCGAGAAGCAACCTTTCTCCTTACCCGCTCGGCGTTTCTTAAGAGGTTTCGAACCACGATCTTCTGAAATTCCTGTGACATCCTTCATCTGCGGCCATGATTTGCTCTTCTTGGTCAGGGCAAGTGTGGTTAATGATGACGAACTCTTCCGAGCAAGGCCTAAACATTTGCATCGCTCCCATGTCTTGATGATCAAATTACCTGATGATCTCTTGCTTTTTCCCTTGCTCCCTTCCATTCAATACAAGAGTTTTCTCGAAAAAACTAAAATAAAATTTCTAAACTTATACACCAGGAAACTGAAGAGATGTTGTTGAGTGCGAAAGACAACTAGAAAATGATATGACTAGATGTAGATGTTATGTCTTTTTCTGTTATCCTCTATCATAGACCAAATGAACCATGACCTTTACCCTTGGCCTCATTGTATTATTCATTTCTTATACGAAATGGTGCTGAAAAGATCATCTAAGAAAGAAGAGACAAAGCAGCAAACAGTGGGTGTGGAAGGAGAAAAGGGTGAAGAAATTCAAGGGAAGGTGAGGCAAAGCAGTGGATGTGGTTTTACTAGACTATTTAATGGAGAAATCTGAAAGGGTCAGGAGCGTCCGTTTTGGTATATAAAAGCCAAATTTGGGTGAAAAATGTTGTCAAGATTTAATTATAGTTTATAGCCACTTGTCAACGCTGGAGAGGAATTCCTTTCCTCGGCCTGTTATTTTCCTCTCAAGTCAAGTCTCAACGGCATGAGGCCAGTTGCTGGGTGAGTTGATTTCTCACAGGAACTAGATAAGGAAACCTACTTTTCGCTACATTCATGATCAATATTATTAGGGGTGGAACAGAAAGACAGAGGGTAGGCACTTTTTTCAACCCTGACTCTAGATTTTTTTTTTTTTTTTTTCACATTTACAAAGAAATTTATAATGTCTTTAATTGGAGGGGAGGGAGAGGAGAAAAAATTATTATAATTAATTAAATTATTTTATTGAGTAAATAATTTAGTTAAAATAAGGTCATTCCTTCCCC